TATTGAATCTTGAATGGTAAATCAACTTCAGGGACTAGTGCGCCAATCCGTAAGCACCTCAGACACTCAGGGTACAGCATGGAGATGTGGCAAAAATGTCGGTATATACAATAACTGTGCAACGTATATCCCACGGGCGTACAAAATGCATATAGTGCATATAACAAAAATTAATACGACCCCCCTTTTTCCGCAAGAAAAATCAACTGTCTAATAAATTGTAATTACAATACGCACCCCTCCCCAGAGCAAAAATAGCGACCCCAGCTAGGTTTTGACCACACTGATGTGTACCGCGGCAGACGGCCTCTGGCCTAATGGCTTACCTTCTTTTCATAAGAACAACTATAAGTTTTTGAAATATTGCGATTTCAGATAAAATGCTGGTAATGTCTGCAATGTTTGGCACGTTATTTGTGGCGTTGATTCATTTGTTGATCGTTGATCGTCTACAAACAACGTAAACTCATCTCCCAGACGACCTACCTGAAGCATTAAGCTCCATCACTGCTCACTGCCAACCATCTCTACCACAATGTGACACCGACATCGCTGCCATTTGAAGAGCATGCGAGATTCCCTGTGATGTGTACACCAGTTGCTTTCATTCATTTATCACTTTATCACTTCGTATCACACGAGTTATCTCTCCTGTCTCTTGTGCTTTAGCCATGATTTGTTGCCTCTTATACGTCGAATCTGTGTGTTGCTATGTGTGTGACCTTTGTAAAGATCGTTCAAATGGATTCATTTTGGTCTTAAAACTCGGACAATTCCAAATAAATTGTTCCAAATATACATATACATGTCTCGACATTTTGATTCCTTCCAGAACACTGCATGATTTTGTGAGGATTTTTTTACTAAACACGACCCCGCCCCGCCCATTGCTGTTTCAGTGCAATCCTCTTTCACAATCTAAGTTTCTTATCACCGAAACTACTACAAAATTTTACCACAGTGGGTGGGCAAAGAAAGGGCATATTATGTTGGAGATCGTACATGGACGGTAGGAGAGGGGCCGTGCTCTTGGAACTTGTAAACTTGTGAACTCTTGTGAAGCTGTAGAAAGCTCGTCTAGCCACCATGCTGAATGTGCCAACTCAAGAAAAGGCTATCTAGATGGGTCGACATATCGATGGAAAGCAAAATGACCCCCCCCCCGTAGCCGAACTGCGCCCGATTCTAGTGTTATTGCACAGCTTCACAAAAGTTTTCAGGTCTCCACATGTAGCATCGGTAATAATCGAAGAGAACCAGCCAAATGCCCTTAAGCCGGACTGCGCCAAAAATCTTTTTTTTTTGCGCCGCTGCCTGATGCGCACGAAAGTTTTTCTTCAAAGTTTGTTGCGAAACACTGGAACTCGCTTAATTCAAGGCTTATCTACAGAACCATCGATGTTTTAAGGGAAGAATGTGGAGATTAGACAAAATGCGACATCAAGTGGGAAAAACAGGTGTGAAATTGACAGACGGGTGGCTTCAGGGCATGAGCTCGGACCAGACTACCGTGTCGTCGGAGATTCCTTGTCGCATGTGTGGAAGGAGGGGGCGTCATGGTTAAGAGACTGAACTAAAAAAGAGGCAGGATTATTACTAAAAAATTATCTGAATGCGTAACAACAATGCGGAACTCCAAAAATTCATTCCAAAAACTCGAAAGACACCAGAAGTCTTGAAAGTTTTTTTAGAAATATATCTTATCTTGCAATATTTCGGCGCTCAGGTTTTAATTTTTAGTTAGGCTTTTAGTGGGCAACCTACCCTAACCGTATCCTTAAATAGTGGGATACTTTGTGACGCGATCACATGATGACTTGCACAATTTCACGTAATTCCGCCCTATTTTTATTTCGGGTAGTAGCCGTTTCATCTCTGGGGCCTCAGTATCTTCCTTTCCACTGTATTCTCTACTGAGCATTAGTAGTAGCTTTCCTCTGATCAAGTTGAGGGGCAGGTGAGCTGTTTCATTCTACGACGCTATGAGAGAGCAGCTATTAGGGTAAAAGGGAGCCTTTGTTTTTCCCCAGGGCTCTCCGGTGTGCTTCGATCGCGTTTTGTATAGGGGCCTCCCATATTCTGCCCGCATCCTTGACACACCACTAAATGAATGCCCCTCCCCCTGAGTTGACAAATTCTATAGTCATTGCAGTGACTCCCTTCCCTAGGTTCACTAAGAACCTTGAAAAAAATAAGAAAGGTGTTCTGAAATCAGCTGGAGGACGGAATATTAGGCGTATCGGAAGTGATGAGCACGTTACCATACTTTAATGCCCTGCTTTCATTTGCAAGTAATAATGTGATCGTGTTACAAAGTATCCCAAAGTACTGTTTAAGGATGTTTAGGGTCGGTTGGCTTTTGAAGTTTTTTTTTGAAATAAATTTTGTGATTTCATGTTGTTGTTACAGATTTCATAGCAAGGAATGAGACTCCGGGACAGCACAATACTCTGATAAAAAAATTATCGTTTGATAATGCAGGCCTTTATCGTTTTGATGATGCAATTCTGTAATAATGAGCGAACAGGGAATTTATATGTAGCTGCCAAGGGAATGAAAGATTAGAATATGCAATGTGTTCCTACGCCAAAAAATGGCATACTTCTGCGGCTGCGGACCCATTCATTTCGCAAATGAAAGGCTGCCGTTTATACCTTTGCGGACAGGCGGGTAGCGACGCTTCAGCGTACGCCAGCGGCAGTGCCGAAGAGAGGATGCATATCGATCTAGCTTCACCAGCGTCACCAGCGGCACGCTGGCGTAGCGAGGGCACGGGAAGCATAGCTATCGATCTAGCTTCACCAGCGTTTCTCGAGCGTTTCTCCAGCGGCACCAGCGTTTTGCTAGCGCTTGCAGCGGCAGGGAGTAGAGACTATGTGGCCGTGAGAGACGCGGAATCGACGTGTATTGTAGAGACCATGTGGCCGTCGGAGACGCAGAAGCGATGTGCATTTAAAGAGACTATGTGGCCGTCGGAGACGCAGAAGCGATGTGCATTGTAGAGACTAAGGGCGAGTGAGAGACGCGCAATCGATATGTTTTGTACCCTCCAGCTCTCCATAGTGAGTCCTACTTTTCCCCTGCCGCTGCAAAACGCTTAGCAAACAACTGGTGAACCCGCCTGGCCAGAAACGCTGGCGGTAGCTTCAATCAGCGTCACCAGCGGAACATGCTGGCTACCGCTAGCTGTGCGCTGGCGTACGTCCCTGCACGTGCCGCTGGTGACGCTGGTGAAGCTAGATCGATATGCATCCTCTCTTCGGCACTGCCGCTGGCGTACGCTGGAAGCGCTACGCTACGCTGCCGCAAAGTATAAACGCAGCCTAAGATCCGTCCTCTGAGCTAATGGTATGCTTTGCACTATATTTTCCTCTGGTACTACTGCTATCATGATCCACAACGAGAAACTCAAAGCCCTCACTTTTATGCGCGCTATTTCTTTGTCTGATGATTTTGAGCCTACTTAACTGAGACCTTCGCGCTTTTTGTCATGATGGGGACGCTACACCCTATGTTCGCTGCGGGACGCGGTTGGGCGTGTCAGGCAGCTTGAGTGGTGGCAGTGGCCACTCCGTCGAAACTCGGTCCTCTGCCTTCTGAAGCGCCATGCCCGACAAAACGGTGGTTAGAAAACGAGTGATACGAACGGTATGATACAGTCATATCACTTGCTCGCTTTAACAACTGGTGGAGAACGGATTTGCCACTGCGCCAAATTCATCCCCCTGACACGTCCAACCGTCCCGCAGCCGATTTACACTATTAAATTCCTCCCTCTTTGTTGACTCTTGCTGAGCCCCTCCTGCTTTCTGGGAAGTAGTTCTGACGTGGAGATCCGTCAATGCATCTCTATTGGATGTATGAATCGAATTAATTACATCAAAAGCAGATAAAAAAACAAACCCTGGAATTGCGCCTATTTAAAGAGCCAATTTTAGTCCGCATCGCTTTGACAAAAGCATCAAATTGGCCTTGCAAGAGCAATAGATCTCATATGTAGCCTATAGCCTCGAAAGAGCATTTTTGATCCAATTTCAATTTTATAGCAGATATAAGCTTCCAAACTGATGCGCTATTTAGTTGGTCCAATATTAACTCACAATCGTTTCCATCCTGAGCCCACAACTATAGGCTAGCGATTTTAGAGTTTACAGCTGATCGCTGTAAGCGCGCGTCGACGCGCGGCAAAAGAGACAGCTTTCCAAAGCTACATATAGACGCGAACGAAGTCACAGATGGCCAGTGCCGATCGATAGCAGCCTGCGTGACTAGGCTACCCCTGCCGTCCTATTGCTCCGACACGACTTAGTTCATAAACCGAAGGGGCTAGCTCCAACTCGATCGAGAACCTCGCAGACGGAGTCGGCGCGTTACAGCGCGTTGACGCCCGTCATCGAGAAGTTCATCGTTGCCTCTTTGGGAAAGTCTGCCGCCCTCCCTCCCTATCCATGCCCTGCATCCTGTCCTCACACACCCTTTTGCCTCTCAGGGATACCTCTGACAAACTGCTTAGCCAACTGCCTTTGTTTCTCAAACCTCGGTGGTATGGCGGAGTCACGGCCCACCATTGTGTCCTTCCTCATTGAGAAAGACCTTCCCTGAAATAAAATCTGTCTAGAAGATTATTGTACATGATTCATTGATCATAATGCACGATTCAATGAGAATGGAACGGTCAGATTGCAAGTGAGATCAAAAGCATATAAAAAGTGCGTATACAATACCATTAAGACCGTATGCACAGCTCTTTGAGAACTTGGGAACATTTTGATGAGATCGAAATGGGAGATCCGTTTTCTGCCCAATGGGAATTCTATTCTAATACGGGAAGTGATCTCTAGCTGTTCTTTGGGACCCAGAAATGAGTCCGGGGATTCCACGACGACATGCTGGCTACAATGAGATCCATACGCCAAGGCACCAATGATGGGTGACACGAAATTCAACAGATCGGCGAGTCCATTAGGTTCTTCTTTTTATGAATCAGGTGATGGGGGACTTCATCGGTTTCGTCTCCTCCTAGATTTTGCTCTTGACGTTTTTCGCTCATTACCGGCGACGAAATTGATGACACTTCGACGACGTCCGTTTGATTCGGTGATCATCGACTGACTACTGTCGGCGATTCGAGTGAACTGAAAGCATTCAGAGATACTAGTAAGAAAAATAAGTCAAATCACGGCTTAATTCCACTCAGTGCACAGGCCGAATTAGGAGTACTATAGTTCCCACCGGTGCGCCCCTCTTTCTGAGACGGAAAAGGGGGAATGATTGGTCTTAAATCTAAGGATGGTGGGTAGGGCGAGGACCCGAGCTCATATGGTGGGTAGGACGAGGAGCGGAGCTCACACCCCCGGGAGGAACTTCTGTGAAGTCGTACCGTCAAGCCATTTAACGCAGCGATTCCTGTAAGAAGGGGATTGACAGGGTAAATGGCCACTTGACAGTGCAACAAGATGACCTGGTAGACCATGGGTCCTTTTTTACGTGGCAAAAGTTTAGTTGAAGTGGTACGACAGGGCCAGTAAGCTCCAACTGACCCACACCCTCCCAACGCCTCCCCCTCCCACTCCTTCAAACAAGACGAGGCTTCAAGCGCCACGGGTACGATACCAAAGGTGCACAACGTTCCGAGTGTTCATCAATCTATCCGTATTATTTCTGATAGGTTTTTTAAGCTCTCCATGATTTGAACAACTTAGGAAAATTTGATGGAAATTTTTATGGAAAACTGAGAAAAGAAAGTGGTCTTACCGAGCCCGATCGGAAATCCTTGGCCCCAGAGGACGGCGACGTTAATCGCCGCTCAGCCAGTTTTGCATAGACAGGACGATAGAGAACCACCTAAATTTGGAACTTCTATTTGAGAAATGGCGTGACACCAGGGGTACATTCTCTTAATTGGCAGGTTCCGTGGTCAGAGCTTGATAGCTCATTTGAAACCCTGCCAATCTCGGTCGGACGAGACCAACCTCTTCTTCCCTCTCTTCGGGATCGCCTTCTCCATCGTAGACTTGACCGAGTCGAAATTCTGGCGACACATATTTACCTCCCTCGACATGGTTGGCGCAAACATCTGAAAAGCAGGTTGTTAGAAGGGAAAGCAAAACCTCTAAGAAATTATGCTGTTGTTATTCTCTTTTTAGATTCGGTGAAACAACGACCAGGTACTACCTCGGACCTCTTGCTGTACTTGTTCCTTCCCTTCGGAAGAGGGAAGAGACGTTCAGTGGGCTGCATTCTTGTCTAAGAGAGCAAATCGATCTTATGCATGAGACTACGAAAGAGGGTACGTTCTACTGCTAAGGAACGTACCCTCTTTCGTAGTTTCGCCAACCAGGAAGAGAGAGTTGGCCGCAAGGCACATCGTTGTTGGGGATTCCCCAACAGGGGCGGGTCGTATTTGGGCGGTGAGAGGGGGGTTCGTGACTGGGCAGAGAGAATTTTTGATAATTGATTTTTCTTATTTCAGGGACGTTGCAAAGGGTCGGGTCGTATTCTATTTCTGACCGTGAGAGAGGTTGCTGACTTTTCGTGATTATACTGTTTCATGTATGCTATATAAAAGTAGGGAAATCGTAGGCAGCAGGGCACATCGTTGTTGGGGAATCCCCAATAGGGAGGGGTCGTATTTTGGGCTGAGAAAAAAATTTATTTTGATAGTTTTGATTTTGTCTCGTTTCAGTGGCAGTTGGTTAAAGGGAGAGGCGGTGGTGTTTGACATCATTTTTGGGAGCGGGGGGGGGGCGTATTTCACGTTTTTGGCGTTTGTGGTGGGTTGGCGTTGACTTCAGTTGGTGCATTTTCCTGTTTCAGTACTCAGTACGTGCCCCCCCCGCTCGACGGCTGCATTCGATGAGAAGGGCAGACGCCAGAGGGCTGGACGGGGGGGGGGTACGTACCTCAACCCCGCCCAACAAAAAAAAGGGGGGGGTCGTATGGATGTCGACGCTCAAAATCGCCAATCCCAATAATGTTGCCGCTGGTAGGTCTAGTTGTTCCGGCACACAGGAGGGTGGGGTGGAGAACAATCTAAGAACAGAAATGTCAGACGTTGGCAGAGGGTAGGGGTCGTATTCCCCCCTCCTCAAAAGGGGGAGATCGTGGGCGCGAATTCGACCAGTGTGAAATCCCGCACCCACATGAGTGTGCCCTGGTTACGAGGACACTCATGACTGTTAGTATCATGACTCCCTCCCAAAAAAGTGTTTATCGTCTACCTCAGACGGTGCCCAGCATGTTGCAGACAATCTCGATGTGGAAATCGAATGTCATGGCGCTGGTGTCTAACGTACCACATCGCTTTGCCCGCAGTGTTACCGTACTGTGTTTCTTGGGACGCTGTTTATAAAGAATTGCAGTACACAATGTCAGGATAAACGCCAGAAATCACTTACCGTACTCCATCGCAGGGTGTGGTGCGTTTGGTATCCGATAGGGAACAGTGGCTACTGTGAGAGGAAATTCAAGATGAAGGCTCTCGTTGCCCTTCTCGTCAACCAAGCATATCTGGAAGTGAATGGCTACGTTAGTCCTGCAAGAACTAAAGGCCTCGATGGCCTACTAGCCTGAATGGTCCATCCAGGGGAATAGCTTACAACAACTTCATACATACTTTAGTAAGCCGAAATTCATGTCGACCAACTAGGCAACATCCTCTGTCTGGCATGCCGTAACTCTACTTGCAGAAAATACCCTTACAAAGGGAGGGGCAGTAATGACAGTGGCGTAATAGTCGTCAGGGGTCTGCCCTGATGTCAAGCGTGGAATGGAATGAACCTCCAACACCTCGGTTACTGTTATTGAATTTGCATTGTGGCCGCGGAAAGAATTGGTAGAGAAAAGAATCATCCAAAACAAGTTTTTAATGTATCAAGCATAAGGAAGGAAAGCAATTCAGTACGGAAAAAAGATTACTAAAAGGCTGGAAATCATTATAGCATCAAAAACAAAATGAATTCTAGGAAGGATGAGAAATGAGACCGACTCTCAATATTTAGAGGTACGGTCCTTGCTTGGCATATGAGCGGAGCAAGAACTTTCCTACACAATGGTCCACCCTTCCTTCCCGAAATAGTGACGTGGAGGGCGTATTAGTGAAGGAAATATGAAAGTAGGCTCGGCTTCGCCCATGCGATGGTTTTGGAGTACTGGGCTTGTTAGAAGAATTTGCGGCCAAACCGGTGAGAGTTGACTGCCCATTTAGAAAAACCCATTTCCATTTAAGTATTGAAGCATTCAACCATTTGAGCATTCACAATCCTTATTAGTAGAAAACTCCCTGGGAATAGACATGGCACAGACTACCTGAGCCAAAGAGGGTGCGCGACCTCCTAGGAGGGCTCAAGGAAATCCAAAAGGTTCTGAAGTTTTCTACTTATGGAACCTCTACACTGATATTCGTTCTGACCATTCTCTTGTACCGACAGGCTTTATTGATTGCTTGTTTTTCTCGTTTTTATTTACATTATTTCCAGAGACTTCGCTTTTTCGAGTATCCACAGGAATTCATTGAAGAACATACCCTAAGGACGTAGTAAATCTGGATGAGGCGGCAGACACCGATGAGTGTTGGCGGAACTACTGGCAGACGAATCGGTTGCTCAAGCGTTGAATCGTATTTCCCTTGTGAATTGGGTGTGATCGATGGAGACCTGAACAACCACCATTTTAATTCAAATTTCCTTCAACTTCCAGTTTTTCACATTCTTTTGACAAGGCTAATGCATTCTTTATACCCAATTGACGCGCGTATCTAATGGTCGTCTTATGATTTCATTCATGAATCTTTGATTAAGGCTAAATCTCGCTGAATTTAGCCCACCCAGCTGTGCAGGAATCTTCTCAGCACATGGGAATTCACCAAACATTGTGGAGTCCCATTGTCCCATTTCTGGGCAACAAATATTGAGTTAATTTCAGAATTTCAGGAAAATTCAACCAAAGGGCGATTCTGCTCATACAGTTGTCCTGAATTTTTCCTTCAAACAGGTTGGTAGTCGCTAAGCCTAGCGATAGACGGATCAACTGGTTTTTGGTAGTCACCTTGAGAAAGCTAACCGTTTTTTTTGCGTCTGGCAAAGCGTAATTCTATAAGCAGTAAATCAGCCCAGCGACAGTTCCATTTCCTGCCGAGACCGATTGTATCCCAGTCTTTCCCACATTTCCCACAAGGGGATGTGTAAGTCCAGCACACAGATATTTTTTAAAAACTAAAAGTAAATAAAATAACTCATACTTGTGTTCGAAGACGACGCATGTGAGCATTTTGCTTTCACCGAGGACACCTTT